GGGGGGGCGGCCCCCCCGCCCCCCAGCCTCCCCCCCGCAGCCTGTCCCAGGCCAAACCGGGGTGAGGTCGATGCTGTGGCTGGGACGATAGCTTCAGGGAACGACATCGCTGCCTTGGCGCTGAGGGCGCCGTCCTGGCCGCGCCGCTGCGTTGGCGGGGCCATGGGAGAGGGTCTTGAGTCGTGTTGAGGCTGGAAGGAGCCTGGAGAAACGCCTGCTCCACACCTTCTGACCAAGCTCTGGTTGGAAACCCCTCAAGGGCTTGTCCTGCAACTCCTTCCAGCTGCAGTCATGCATTGCTAGTGCTGCCGCTCGTTTCCCCTCAGTCCATGTGCCAATTAAAGCTGGGCTAATGAGCTGTGGAGTTGTGGTGTGAGGGAGCTGGTATCCCTTTTTTTTTTTTAGAGCAAACAGCTTGGAGAAGATCTCTCCTTTCACGTGAGCAGCAGTGACTGGAAGTTAGGGGTTCCATCACTTCTGTTGTTTATTTTTTATTCATTCTTTTGAACAAGGTGGATGTTGGAGTCTTGCTTTTGAATGTGGATCGGTTTTAGAGCGGAGCAGGTTCAGGTTGTCAAGACCCTCAAGAGCCTATGGGAAGACGGAGCACAAAGGAAGGAAAAGTAAGCATGGCAGCATCTTTCAGAGGTCCTTGTGGAGGGGAGAGTAGTTAAAGCTTGACAATTACTGAAGTGTTTTGATGTCGCAGGTGCTTACCAGCTGCCTTTGTGGTGTCTTCCTGGGACTAAAAACCCACTTGTGAGGCTCCGTGCACCCAGTAACAGGTCTCTGAGATCTGGAGCTGTCTGGATCCACCTACCTAGGAATCACCTGGGATCTTGCGCTAAGCAAACTCACCAGTCTGGTGGAGGCTGGGTGAGTGGAGTGATGTCCTTTTACTTTTCAGGAATTTTACCAGAATGGCTTCATTTCTTTAAAAAATAGCTTATCAAACTACCTGGTGTGTCTGTTAAAGATAGAAAGTGTGTTGGATCTTCGCAGGAGTTGTGCAAACGTTGCATTTATTTTGCTGAACACTTCATTGCCAGCTGCAAAGCACAGCTACCTCTAGTGCTGCACGTTCCAGTAAACATCTCTTATCCATCCTATAAAATTAAATGAAGCTAAGTTTCATTAAACTGTGCAGGGGTTATGTGTGCAGTGATATCTATTTTGAGTGCTTGGCTAAATCTTTTTTCCCTTGACTTCACAGTTTACCTTCAGGGTTGCTGGATGTTGATGCTCACGTTAGGAGAAGGCAGTATCTCGGCATACTGCTGCTGGGTAGGTGAGGTGCTATGAAGGTCTCTGACTGTGGAGCTGGTGAAGCTTGCAAGCAGGAGTCATGGCGAAGATGGGCAGAGGCAAAGGTAGTTGCGGAGTTAGTGCTTTAGTACGTTATGCTACTGAATAAGGCAGCTGAGACCTCCAGAAATACCCAACAGCACATTGTTTCTCTTAGGGTCGCGTGGAGGCTGGACATTGATGTCTCCATCATCCTCGGTTGCTCGGCTTATAAGGATGTATTTTTTGCTGTAGGCGGTAAGAGTGACCGGCAGCTGGGTCTGAGCCAGCTTGGGTTATGAACCAGCTGGCCCCAAACGTGAACTGGTGCACTGTGGAGCCTAATGGAGGACTGTTCTCGTTATCATGGCGACGCGGGGGTGCGCTGGTGGTTCTTGGTGCTGCCATAGGGTGGGTGCTCTGGCTAAACTGGAAGAGGCAGCTGCTTTTCTGGTCCATCAGGAAGCTCTGGGAAAGTGGTGGTACAGAAGATGGAAGCTCTCCCAGCAAACTTGGGCTCCCAAACTTCAGGACCTGAAGTAGCTCAGCATTTTGCTTCTGGCCACTCCTTTTTGCACTTAGACAAAACCCTGTCTATGCAGAGACCTTGTTCTTTACACTTCAGATAAACGTGTTGGGCCTGTGGGAAGATGGCGATCTGCCTGTCTGAAGCTCAGTTATTAATAATAAAGTATTTAAGATGGCAATTTGCATTTCAGCAGCACCTTTAATTCATGGCTCTCCAAATGCTTTACAGACATCGATTAACATAGCCTCACAACAACCCTGTGAGGTAGGTGGATATGATCATCCCCACTGCTGTGGGGACAATGAGGGCACCAAGGATAAGGGGCTTGGAGCAATCGTGCTGGGATTTGACCTAGCACGTGGCCATTTAAGTCCCATTAGGCCTTCAGCTTTAGATCATGCTTTTGTAATGCATGGGTTTGAATCAGTGTGGAGCTGTACTGATTAACGAGCCTGTGACTTGCTTGCACAGACTGTAAAGGCCATTAATCTAAGGCAGCAGTTTATTAGCCAAGTAGGTGTTTCCTTGGTGCTTCCTGCTGCTGGAATAATCTGAGGGTTTGAAGGCGTATAAAAAATAGAGTTTAGCTATCAACCATTGAGCATGGCAGGCTGTAACTGGAGAAGGCCCTTAGACCCCAGGTGGGGAAGCTATGTGGGATGCTACCGTAAATGTACTGACTGGAAAGGACATAATAATTTATATATAAAGTCCACCCTTGCTATTTCACCAAAGGAGAAAAAACCTAGAAAGTCACTACTGGTTGTCACGTGTCAGCTTCAAGCTCTGGGCCCTTGGCTTCATAGCACCTGCAAAAGGAACAAAACATGGTGCATCAGCAGCCTGTTTGGGCTGGCAAAAGAAATTAAGCAATGCGTTCCCTGAAACCCAGTCCCAGTGCTAGTTTAGCTTTAAAGCAACGTAAAATTATGTGAATTACTAGTGTGTGACGGATCTGAGAGTAGAGATGGGAATGTGCTCCAATATCTCCTGTGGAGCAGGAGTGCGGTAAGCTTGGACTAGAGGGTGAGACCTTTACTTCACAAAGCCTAGCTTATTTACCTCTTCATTTAATGACAAACCACTCCAGCTCTGATGGCTGGCCCTAGGTGATGGCACCTATATACGTGAGGTGTATGTGATGCCTTGAGTTCAGGCAGCTTGGATAAACCTGACATGGGCATCCAAACTTTTCACGAGGCTCACTGGAACCAGTTTGGACCTTTAGGAGTTTGATGGCAGCTGTTTTTTATTATCTTTCTGAAGGAATAAGAGAGCAAAGAAATAACTCAAAGGCATGCTGTTATCCAGCAAGATAAATAATCCCCAGCTAACTCTCTAAAAAGCGAGGCTTAAAAGGGAAACCTTTTCTGACGGTGGGTAACTCATGCTGTTGTTCA